ACAAATCCTTCTAGCTAAACAAATTAAGACTGGCCACCAAAACTGGCAGGAAACACTGTCTTAAAATTTCAGCTTTCTAGCTTTCCTGGCTCCTGAGTTAACAACTTACTGGAAAAAATTTTTCACGAGCTCGCACTCGGGTACCACGCATACCCGATGTGTGGGTTTGAGCTCGTTGAGACTTACCTGGACGGAGAACATCTTCCTAAAACTACAGTCTTTTAGCTTTACAGGTTCCCCAGTTATGAACTTACTCGGGAAAAATTTTGGCGAGCCCATACGCGGGTACCACGCTTACTCGGGAGTTGGATTTGAGCTCATTAATACCTACTTAGACGGAGAACATTCCCTTAAGATTTCAGCTCTCTAGCTTTTCTGGTTCGCGAGTTAGCAGCTTACCCGTAACATTGGCGGGCTCTTGCGTGGGTACCGCGCGGGAAACACCGCCCATTTTGGGGGATAGGGGCCGTACGTGCATGCAGATTAAGTCTTCAAAGTTTCAGCCCTGTAGCTTTTGTAGGTCTCGAGATGAAAAATCGGTACAGAGGCCCTGCGCACACACAGACAGACAGACACACAGGCAACCTCTCGTCAACATGCCTTTTCCCCACTGCATAGCTGCAAAAAACGCATAAAAATTGAAAACAAAGTGGAAGAGGGGGATGAGTTTACAAGGAGCTCGGAGACAGGAGCTAGTGACAACAGTAAAGAGAAAGAGACAGCACAGCACCATATAAAGGTAAATTGAGGAGCCTATGAATAAAAGTATGATAATTGGCCAACGCACCTGCTGCCAGTGCGAAGATGCTTTTTTTGCGTAGTCCCTCGCAGTTTTTTTCGTTACCGGCACCGGTTTTTCAGGTAAATGCTTCTAGCTAAACAAATTGAAACTGGCCGCCAGAACAGTCAGGAAACATCTCCTTAAAATTTCAGCTTTCTAGCTTTCTTGGCTCCCGAGTTAGCAACCTACTCGAAAAAACTTTCACGGGCCCGTACGTGGATACAACGCATACCCGGTGTCTGGATTTGAGCTCACTGAGACTTACGTGGATAAGGAACATCTCCTTAAAGTTACAGCCTTCTAACTTTTCAGTTCCCCGAGTTAGCAACATATCCAAAAAGAACTTTGGCGGGCCGTGGGTGCCACGCATTCCCGAGGGCTGGGTTTGAGCTCGTTGAGATTTACGTGGACGGGAAATACCCTCTTAAAATTACAGTTTTCTAGTTTTTCAAATTCTCGACTTAGCAGCTTGCCTGAAAAAAACTTGGCGGGCCCATGCGCGGGTACCACGCATACCGAGGGCTGGTTTTGAATTGATTGAGACAAACGTGGCCGGGGGACATTCCCTTAAAATTTTAACTTTCTAGCTTTTCTGGTTCCGAGTTAGCGACTTACCCGCAAAAAACTTTCACAGGCTCGTACGTGGGTACCACGCGGGTAAGAGCGCCCATTTTGGGGACCGGGGTCCTTACGTGCGTGTAGGTTAATTTCCCAAAGTTTCAGCTCTGTCGCTTTTGTAGGTCTTGAGATGAAAACCGTGACAGACGCACACGCAGACACACACACACACACAGACAAACCTTCGCCAGTATGCGTTTTCTGCATTGCACAGATGCAAAAAACGCATAAAAATAGTCTTCGAACAATGCAGTTACAGAACGATTATGAACTGCGTATGACCCAAATATTTCGGGTTTGCTTTGAGCAGCACAAATCGTACACACTGTATACTCGCAAGATGGCGAGTCCATGGGTTTGGCCAGTGCGACGAGCCGAAATTTTATGCGACGTAGAACAAATTCAATGTACAAAGTCATACAAAAAAAAAAAAAACGTGGTTACTCTCACTGATCGCACAAATTTGATTCGAACCGCACAGCTTCTTGATTTAGGCACATTCCAGGAAGGGCATTTTCTCAAAAAACCGTATCCTCT